TGCTTACACATTATACTAAAAGTAAAAAATAGTTCAGGAAAATAATAGTTGCAAAATTCACAGAAACTACCAGTTCTAAGCGGCATGCCGAAAGCTTGGTTGCCAAAATGTCATTCCGTCACACAAGTAAAAAGTTCATAAAATTAAAAATAAAAAAAATACAAAATTCTTTTTTTTTAGTTTATGAATCACATTATACCAATAATAATGATATGCATGAGAAAAAATCATGTTTATTTGAAATTAGATGCATAGAAACTTCAATTAATTGTCATCATGCAAGTCAAAATGTCATTCCGTCACATATGGAATTGCCCTACTTTTAATATCAAAAAAATTCAATGCATTGTTAGTTTAGTAGAATAATTTTATATAAATGTCATATAATTGTTTCTGCTAGTCATATTTTATGTAGCAACATGAACAATATGTATTAAGTTTTTATCAAAACTTATGAATTAATTTTATGTATTAATTGGAACTAATAATTAAGTAATTATGATTTACTCAGAGTTTTCGAACAAAAACAACGATAAGGGGTTTATTTTCAAAATTTACTCATTTGAAGAAAATAGCATAACTACTGATGGTGGCTCGTATGTTAAAAATGTCTTTATCTTTTTCATTTATGTCACTGGGAAAGAAAAAATCAACAATATGTAACTAAACTGTTAAAATACTGAAAATATTTATATATGAGCTTTTAAAAGGTTTTATTAAAAGAATTTTTTGGGGAATTTTTTTAGTAGATTTCAGGAATTCATACTGGAATGCTGGAAAGTAACAACTTTTATTTCCTCGATTTTTTTTTCCCATGATAGTAAAGATCATATTTTAGCATAAAAAAATCAAGAGGGTGTTTTTTTAAATTTTTAATCAGTAAAAAAATCGGAAGTATTTATCCAAAATTAATCAAATAATTAATTATAATTTATAATTCATTATAATTTATAAATAATAATTACTTATAATTAAAAATTATTTATTTTTAATTAATAAAAATTTTATTATAATTAATATTCCAAATTAATGAATTAATTTTAATTTTTGTAAAGAATAATTTTTTTAAATAAAAATTTAAATACTTCATATTACTTGACTCTTCATAAGTTAAGTTCGGCACAGAGGTCAATCTTCTACTTTTACCTAACTTTTGTTTATTTATAGTTTAATCACCCAAATAATGAATTGCATGTTTCTTAATCGAGATAATTGCATGCTTCTATAATGAAATTATTTCAAAAATAAGGCAAGATAAAGAGAACAAAACAAGCATTTATATATATTTTTATTTTCTCAAATTGAAGAAGAAAACACACACATACATACAACATTTAACAAGATATATATGTTTTATAGTTTTGTTCGTTGTAATGATATTTTATATGAAAAATAACAATTTTTCAAATTTCATGCATTTAAAAAATAACAATTGCATAGTTCTATGATATTAAAAAATATTAATTAATAAAAGTTTACAAAAATGCCGTGAATTAAGAAAAAGAAAAAAATATCTTTTAATTATAAGGGAGGTTTTTAGCTGTTACACAACTGTTCTCAACGACGAATTTTGGTGCATATAAATATACGTAAAGTGCTGAAAAAATTAATTTAATAAGTAATTAATTAAGTTGTGAAACATATTTTTCTGTAATTAATAAAAATATTTTTAATTTCATAAGAAATTTTTAAATTACCTAAAGTTTTCTAAGAATTTTTTTTAAACTTTTTTAAAAGAGAAACTTTCTTTTTCAATAAATGTGTGTCAAATTTTATTTTTGAAAATAGCTTTCCTACTGTTTTCTCTAATTGTAAAATATTAGCAAATCTTATGATTGAAATCTAAATTTTAGATAAATTAGGAACTTATTTTGTAAAATTATTTATCGCTGAAAAGAATTTATACACATCATATTTTATTCAAATTAAAAGTTTAACAAAAAATTAACAATTTCAACGAATGTGTTATAACAATTTAAAAAATGGACAATTCATAAGATCTTTTTTTTTTAAAAATTGATATTTACTGAAACTTTTTAAGATAAAAATCAGCATTATTAACTCATTGGCCGGTAATAATTTTTGGAAAATTTTAGACAAAATATAACATTTCTTAAAACGTAATTGTGAAGTTATCCAATATTAGAATGAAGAAAAAATTTTAAAAAAAATCTCAACTATAAACTATATAAATATTAAGAAACTGTCGTTGTGGTCAGGCTTTTTCTATAAAAATACCTATAAATATAGAGTCAATTTCTAGATAGTCAATTGATAAATTTAATTTATAGAGTCAATTATAACCTTTTAAAATGCAATACAAAAATTCAAACTGTTCTTTATTCATAAGCAATATCATTTTATGTGCTCAATCAGTCATAAAAATGATATAAAAGTTCAATAACATTTGCATAACTATTTAAATTCGTTGCTTATTATTAAAAAAAGTTTTTAAAAGAACTTCACTATTGATCTCATTTTGCAAATTAACGAAAAACAGTTTAAATAGTAAAGAATATTGAAATAACATGATTAAAGCTATTTTTAGTGCATGATAAGTGCATTTATATACCAATCAATAGGAAATTATATTTTTATGAACTCATTTGTTAAAAGTTTAACTAACAAGCAGTATTATTTTCCACATTTAAAGAATATTATATACAATAAAATATCACAACGATATAATAAGTTCAAGATGAATTGAAAAATATATCTACTCTATACCAATAAATATGCAAGATAAATATATTTAAAGAACAGCAAAAATACATTTATAAACATTTAAAAATTTCATAAGACATTGGAAGACGATGAAAGCTGCCAAATTCATTTAGGTAAAGAAGTTGTAGCTTCTAACAATCACGATAACTAGAGCTATGAAAATTTGTTAAAAAACATATAATAGGAAGCAAAAGCAACGTAAATACGTTTCAGTTCCCAATTTTTGGCGGCATTCAAAATCATAAAACTGAATTTAAGTATTGAATTTTTAATCAAAGACTTGTATAGGCATTTATTAACATACAAAGATTTGTGTGAAAAAGAAGTTTATTTCGAATATCACGTAAACTGCAAAACAATAGATTATTTGACGTGTGATGTTTGTAATTGCTATTTTATATTTCCCTTTAATTTCTTTTTTTTTTCAGTTGATAAATCATACACTCTTCTGCCATTTCAGTATATTTAAATTATTAAGTTTTTACCATAAGAACCATTATTACCATATGGACGAAAAAAGTTACAAAATGAATGCTTTAAATGCAGTATAATTTGTTCGTTTTTTTAATCAGAATTACGGTTATTTTTACCAAAATTGTCATTATTTACCATACAATACGGTAATTTTACCAGTTTTTTTTTCCTTGTAATCATCTTAAATTGGGATTTATATATCCTAATTAAATATGTAATTAGGGTTTATAAATTAATGATAAATAATTTGGATAGGATTAGCCACAACACTAGTACCCAAGTAAATTAACAGTCCTTGAATTATATCTAGGCTGATTTTGAATTTGTTGATTTGGCTGATTTTGAATAAATTTACCAGTTTTTTTCCTTGTAATCATCTTAAATTGGGATTTATATATCCTAATTAAATATGTAATTAGGATTTATAAATTAAGGATAAATAATTAGGATAGGATACGCCACAACACTAGTACCCAACTAAATTAACAGTCCTTGAATTATATCTAGGCTGATTTTGAATTTGTTGATTTGGCTGATTTTGAATAATTTTACCAGTTTTTTTCCCTTTTAATCATCTTAAATTGAGATTTATATCTCCTAATTAAATATGTAATTAGGATTTATAAATTAAGGATAAATAATTAGGGTAGGATAAGCCACAACACTGATAGCCAAGTAAATTAACAGTCTTGAATTATATCTAGGCTAATTTTGAATTATATTTTGGTTTTATTGCTAGAATTATGTTTTTTTTTACCAGAACTTACATTAGCATACAATAAGTTAATTTTACCAGAATTTTTTTCTCCAGGTACATATGTTTTTTTTGAAATTTCAATTTAAAATTAATTAATATAACAAGTATCTAAATATCTTTGCTCCCTATTATAGTAATAGAAACAGTAAGCTAAATCCCTAGTTCATTATCTTCTACATTACGATATCATATGTAGTAAAAATTTTGAATCTGCTAATTTTTTACTACACACCATCAGGGAAAGGAGTTACGGAGTATCTTTAGTTCGCTTTACGATAACACCTTCCAATTTTTTCTTGAAACACCTCAGTGCTAATTCTTCTAAAATGAAGAGTTTATTCTCACTCAAAAATCTAGGAAATGTAGGTCTTGATAACAAATCTCATTCATTTGTGCCAACGAAATTAAACATTTCAATATAAAATTTTAATAATTTTTTTTTCTCTATATTTTTCAAAACAACTGTAAGATATGTTTATATATTGTAGATAAAAAAAAATGCAGATATGTTTATATGATATTATATTATTAATTTAAAATTATTTATTTGTTTTATTTTATTTAATAAGAAAATAATAAGTCCAAGTTGAAATTAATATTCTTCTTAGTGGATCCAAGATGAAAATACACTACTTTACTAGTAAAGGCGTATTATCCCTTTAAAAGAAAATTTTCATCAAACAGATTTTTCATACTTTTTTCAATATTTTGTATTAATTTATGTGAAAATAAATGAAAAACATTATATTCAGCATTTTGATAATTTAAGGTTATGAAATACAACATGAAACACTGACGTCTTTTTCTGCGCTAACGATAAAATCTTCCAAACATGGCTCACTTCCAAACAATAATTTTTCAAATTTCCACTTATATTTAAACCTAAATAAACAGTTACTCGTCAAAGAAGTTTTTTTAAGTTAAAAAATCAATTGTTGATACATTTTTGAATATGAATTTAAAAAAAATTCTAACTACTCTTTTTCATATTTTAGTAGAAATATAATTCCGATAATCTAACAGAATTTTTCAGCAATTATTAGACTGTTTTTTTTTACAATCAAAAAATAATAAAATACATTTTTTCTTGTAATAAGAGCATCAGAAAAAAACATTCATAAAATGGACACCGGTGTCCTATTTGCGTCATAGGGTTGAAGTCCTATGCCATTTGACGCATTTGCAGTTATTCCTTTTCAATTCATAGTTACATGCTCAATTCTCAGTTTTCAATCGTAGCTTTTATCAATTCACAATATAAATGTCAACTGACTACTTCACAAGTTTTTTTAAATGTTTGATTTTTGAACATTTAAAAATAATGCTCACTAGTGAAAGTGCATATTAAGGATAGGGCTAAGCGCATACTCAATTAACTTGGAGAAAAAAAAATGCTTCGTTTTTAACCCTTTGAAGGTAGTTGAAAATACAACATACATAGAAAATGTATCCCTGACGCACACTTGAATGAATACACATATGTAAAATATAAATTACATATCTATCACAGGTTAATTGACGGATATATATGCATGATATATAGTTATAATTAAGTAGAAAAAGTTTTCGTTACAAGAAGTACACTTTACAATTAAATAAATATAGATATACGTAATTGACACGTAACAGAGATATAGTACTCTAAACAAAGTACTCTCTTTACAAAACGTCTTCAATCTATGATATCTTCTTTAGGCCCTTCTTGTTCTTCTTTGGATATGGCCCATACTGCGTAAATAATGTAAATAATTAAAAAAAATCTTTCATATTAAACTAATTATTTCATATTAAACTGATAGAAATTTCTAAGAAAATGGTTAAATAACCATTTATTTCACCATATTCAAGCAAAATAGTCAAATAACCATAACTAAGATGGCATTCAAACTGTTAAATGTGTGAAAAACCGTTTATAACCAAATACGGTTAAGCAACCAGAATTTTATTGCACCAACTAGGCCCACATGATGAAGCCACTTAGTTCCTTGCAGCTGAGTACATATTACTATAGCCGAGGGAGCTAATCTGTCAATTTCATAACCGGCAGAACGTAGGTTCGAGTACAATCGTTGACACCACAATAATTCCTCCGTCCCCTTCTACACATGAAAAGTGCCCAGTATCCTGTACTCTTCAATTTGTGATCCTGGACTATTAGAATACGATACTCTCAATTTCGCATAGATTGCAGCACCATAAAAGTGCTTGAGAGAAAAAAAAGTCTTGTTTTTCCATGTTAGTTGAAGCTGGTTTAGGAACCGTATAATTTTCTATTCATGGTTTGTTAACCTTACTACTTGTAAACGGTTTCAAAACCGTAAACGTAAAAAATGCTCTTTACAATAAACTTTATGGTTAATTGGATGATCAAACTGCTGCCGGTTATTTTATTGTAATTTTAGAATGAAAATTGCAATAGTGTAGGTTTTATATTGAACTATGTTTTAGCTAAAAAAATTTCAGTATCATATTTCATAAGACTTCATTTGATATTTATCATTTCATAAAAATTCATTTTTCTATTCTTACAGTACCTTTAAAATACATTTCAAAAATTTATTTTTTCAAAATATACTTACCAATAATAATGATAATTATAAATAGTCCAATGACGATTAAAATAGATAGCATCTGCAAAAAAGTATTAAAAAAATTAAAGATCAAATAATAAAAATTTAGATGAAATTAATTGATAACAAATGAAAAAAACTTGTTTTAATTTTAACAAGTTTAACGTCAATAAAAACCAATAAATCTCTATAAATTAAAAAAAAAGAAAAAGAAAAGAAATCCAATAATTCATTAATCTAAAATTGATTTTAAGTTAAGCAAAAAAAACTAGATTTAGTTTAAATATCTATAATAATTTAGTTATTACAAGCCCAATGCAGATCAATACACATCGATATATACATCGATCAATATGCAATATCGATGTAAAAAAATAAAAAAAGGAATCAATAAATTTTTTAAATCTATATTTTATTTTAATTTCATAAATGCAAAGATAATCTTATTATTTATAAAAATTTAAACCTTCATAATAATTTAAATATTTATACTGACTACCCTTAATATATCAATTCTTTTAACTCAAACTTTTAAACTACATTTTTTTCTCGACAGTTATTAGTTTTCTTTTCTATAATAAAAAGCCTTCTTTTCTGTGATAATGAAGCATATAGTTTACCAACTAAACAGTAACGCTGTTTAAAATATAAAACTCTTCAATTCCCCCCCCCAAAGCAAAATTGTCACACAACGTCTTTTTAAGCACATTTTTTTAAAAAAATTTTTAATTAATTAATTTGAATTTTAATTATTTTAAAAATAATTAATTTAAAAATTGTAAATTATTTTAAATTTTTTTTTAAAAAATTATACATTTAATCCTTTTTTGTGATAATGACTCATATAAATTTACTAGCTTCAAAGTAATGCATGTTAAAAGATAATCATCTTGAAATTTGTAAATAGAATTCGTGAATAGAGTTAGGAATAATTTATTTTAGACACAACTGAAAACAATTACTTATTTGATTCTTTTCTGACAGAATAACTCATACAGATTGACTAATTAAAACAATCATGCAGATCAAAACATGAAAATCTTGAGTTTTGCAAACTATATTTGTCATGCAGTTTTTACGATAAGGCTTTTTAGATACATTAAGAAATTGTTTATTTGGTCCTCGGAATGATTCCTATAGATTTACTAACTAAAAATAATTGAAAACTAAAACTTAAAACCTTTCAATTTTTTAAATGAAATTTATCATGCACTGTTTACAATTAAGCTTTTTAAGTACAATCAAAAATCATCTGTTTGGATCTCACAAAGATTCATAAAGATTTACTAACTAAAATTTAATGCAAGTTAAAACTTAAAACTCTTTAGCATTGCGACTTATATTTATCTTATATTTACAATTAAGATTTCTAGATACTCATGCTTTTTTAGATACTCAGCTTTTTAAAACTCATTAAAAAAATGGTCTATTTGGTCCTCAGAATGATTTACATAGGCTTACTAACTAAAACTTAATGCAAGTTAAAACTTAAAAGATTTCAAAGTTACAAATAATTTTTACCATACAGTGCTTACAACAAGGCTTTTTACATACATTAAAAAAATGCCTATTATGCCCTCAGAATGATTCACATAGATTTACTAGTTAAAACTTGATGCAAGTTAAAAGTCTTCAACATTGCAAATTAATTTCATCATGCAGTGTTTACAATAAGGCTTTTTATATACATTAAAAAAATTGTCTATTTGGTTCTCAGAATAATTCCTATAAATTTACTAACTAAAAATAATTGCAAATTAAAACTTAAATCCTTTTATTTTGCAAATTAAATTTATCATACAGTGTTTACAATGAAGCATTTTAGGTACATTAAAAAATTATCTATTTGGTTCTCAGAAAAATTTCATAAAGATTTACTAACTGAAAATTAATGCAAGTTAAAACTTATAAGTCTTCAACATTGCAAAATAATTTTATCTTACATTTACAATAAAGCTTTTCAGATACATTAGAAAGTTCTTTATTTAGTCCTCAGAATGATTCACGTAGATTTACTAACTAAAACTTAATGCATGTGTTAAAACTTAAAAGTCTTCAACATTGCAAATTAATTTTATCTTACATTTACAATAAAGCTTTTTAGATACATTAAAAAATTCTCTATTTAGTCCTCAGAATGATTCACGTAGATTTACTAACTAAAAATTAATGCATGTGTTAAAACTGAAAAGTCTTCAACATTACAAATTAATTTTATCTTGCATTTACAATAAAGCTTTTTAGATATATTAAAAAAATTGTCTTAGTACCCAGAATGATTCACATAGATTTACTAACTAAAACTTAATGCAAGTTAAAACTGAAAAGTCTTCAACATTGCAAATTAATTTTATCTTGCATTTACAATAAAGCTTTTTAGATGTCTTAAAAAAATTGTTTTAGTACCCAGAATGATTCACGTATATTTACTAACTAAAAATTAATGCATGTGTTAAAACTGAAAAGTCTTCAACATTGCAAATTAATTTTATCTTGCATTGACAATAAAGCTTTTTAGATATATTAAAAAAATTGTCTTAGTACCCAGAACGATTCACATAGATTTACTAACTAAAACTTAATGCAAGTTAAAACTTAAAAGTCTTCAACATTGCAAATTAATTTTATCATATAGTGTTCACAATAAGGCTTTATAGATACATTAAAAATTTGTCTATTTGGTCCGCAGAATGATTCATATAGATTTACTTATCAAAAATTAATGAGAGTTAAATTTTAAAAGTCTTCCATTTTTCAAATATCATGTAGTCAACAATTACAATAACGACGATAACGACGGAAATTTCAAACTTACATGATTAACCTGCATTACTTAATAATATTAAAAAGCCTTTTTAAGTATTTAGATAGAAAGAAATCAAATAGATCATGTATAACGATAAAATTAAAAACTCCATATTATAACGATAAGATTAACGATAAGATCATGTAACGACTATTTCATTTAAAAAAATAGTCGATCCCTTTCCGTGAGAATGATTTAGAAAGGTTTTTCAATTGATAAGTAATGCATGTTAAAAACTTAAATTTAAGTCTTAAATTTTGTATTCAAAATCTGCCACATAATGTTGACACTAAAAGTCTATTTAATTTGCTCGTTTTTTATATTTAATTTGATTACTTTTTGCTAGCTATAAAGTGTTCAATGTATAATGTATTTATAAGAATTTTATCATGTTTTGAAACAAAAACCTTAGAATAACTTACTTTACAATTCTTCCACCAATATTTCCTTTTTAGTTTACCGGTTTGCTTTCCAAATTCCGAAGCTTCATCGTTTAATGCATCTAGAAAAAAACACATATTTATAAATAAATTTGTATGAAAATTATGAGTTACAGTGTAAAAAATTCCAGAAAAAGCTGGCAACCGGAGTGCAGCATCCGTAAAAAACATTTTATCGTAAAATCCATTCTTTACCATAAAATTATATACCATTATTTTTACAGTGATATTTATTTACGTACTGTGATATTATAGTACTGTAAAAATTACAGTATATCAAATTTTTTTTTGTAAAATTTTACAGTAAAAATGGATTTTACGGTTAAAAATATTAGCACTCTGAATGCCAGTACTTTTTACTGTTATTAAATCTGGAATGTTTTACAGTGTAGCATTAAGAACGATTTTCACAAGTATAAGCTTATATTACATATAATGTTAACAAAAGCTTTCAATTTCTTTTTCTCCAGATAAATTATAAATTTTATACTTATAGTCCTCTGGTGTAAAACAAAATATTTTGTGAAAATTTTTAACGCTGTAAATTTTAACCCTCCGAGAATTGAGTAACTGGAGTAGAATTGTACGCAAAGCTTCCTGCTACGCGCTATTTTCCCATACAAAAACATAGAGAAACAATTTTTTTATGCAGGTAAGCTTCAAAAAAAAGCCAAGACTATTGCTCAGAGGGCTAATAAAAAATCTAAAAAAAAAAAAAAAAGAATACTAGAAATACTAGAAATTATACTAGAAATAATCAAGAAAAATCATGCCAACAATACTCAAAAATTTTTTTGCTTGTTTTTTTCTTTAAATGAAATGTATAAAAATACTGTTTTAATTTAAAAAAAAGCAAAATATTTGAAGAAAAAGAATCGATTTACAAGGTGTTCCATAATTGCTACTCTCATTACATATTTTTAAAATTCATGTCAGAAACGAAAACCTAAAGGCCTGTCTATTAAGTGTCTCAAACTAATATTTAAATAGAGAAAATATTCGATAAAAATTTGACGATACTTCATCGAGACCAATCTAGGTAAAAGTCGAAAACAATTCTTTGAAAACGCGATAATTTGTCAGATAAAACTGAAAAAATATCATATTTAGGTACTTTCCAGTTTCATCTTGCAAAGAAATTTCATCCGGCAATGGATTTTGGTTATTCCATCTTGCCATTTGATAAGAATATAACCTTCATGTAATTTCGATAACGCTTTTTTTCAATAAACTACTAACTTGCTGTATTAATGCGTATATTCTTAAAACTGTAGTAATTAAAAACAATTACTTAATTTTAAATAATATAATTTTATACGGCAAAATACAAAAACTACAAAATGCAAAAATAAAAAATCCGAGAAATCAACTTTCAAAAAGTTAGATATTTAAAATTCAATTTTTCAGGAACTATTCGACCAATTTAGTTAAAATTTTGTATTTTGCAAATTAAATCATTTGAAATGTTCAATTTCATATTCAACTCCTTACAATTCAGAAATTATTAGGCTTTACAATTCAAACAATTTTTCGATTATAGTTAAATGAAATAATAAAAAATAATAAATAATTATTGATAATTGGCTTTTGTACGGAATTATCTTTGAACAAATGAATTTTATAATTGAGTGCAAAAAAAAAGTTTTAATTCACTTATAAAGCTCTCGAAAAGAGAAATACGCAAAAAGTAAAATTAACGTTAAGTTGTCTAAACTTTTGAGCAATCTTCTGACCAAACTATGGGTACCATACTTCTTAGATTGTGGTAACCCCTTATGTATTGGAATTCAGAAATCATAATCCGTCGCAAATAAAGTATGTTTATTCAGAGGAAATATGTTTAACTGTCTGATTCCGTAACTTAAATTTCATCTACATTGATGAATTAACAAAGAGAAAAGAGGTACGTGAAAGTCTGGTTATTAAATAAAAAGTTATTCAGTATCTTTCTTTTATTTTTCCACGCACTGTACACATTTCATTTAGAAAAAAAAATCTGTAGGTATAGTTTTCCAACTATATTAAAACGCTCTTAAAATATAACAAAATACGAAATAAATAATAAAATCAAAATATCGAATACTTTTTAAAGTATATTGCTGTAATATATTGTCAGCCAAAAAGTGGACTAAAGTATTATATTTTATTTCACATCTCTATTTTAAAATCTTCAATGAAAAAAAAGTAATTTCTAAGCACACGTTTCCTTTTTATTATTAATTTATTTTATTATTAATTTATTTTATTATTAATTTATTTTATTATTAATTTATTTTCTTAACATTGGAACTTAAAACTAAAATTATGAAAAAATAGTGTCTTAAATAGCTTTTGAAAAAATGAAATTTTATGTGATTATAAATATGAATGAGAATCTGTTTAGATGTAATAAATTACCAGCACGATCATCCAAGTCCGATAGTTTTTCATCTCTTTGCAATATAAGATCAACATTTTTCTTTAAAATTCCCGTCACCTAAAACACAAATGAGCGATAAAGTATTTCATATTGTTTAAAATGTATTAAATTAAATTACATTTTTAAATTATATTTAGCACATTGTAAAAAAAATTGGTGTATAGTTGCCGCCTCTATTAATGTTGAGTTAAACTTAAAAATTTTATAATGCATGTAGCCAAACATTTTATTTACTTTTTCCTTTAGTGTTATTTATTTAATTATTATTTTTTTGTTTGATTGTGCACATTTTCATACTCATTATTCAAAACTAATATATGGCCTGATTGCAGAAACATTTAGTTTAAAAAGCAAGCACATGCTTAGTAATGTATTCGCACTAATTCTTTTAAACAATTATTATTTTATTAATTTTATATAATTTTTTGAACCGTAACTACAGTTCTGTATTTAGATTACTTCAACACCAAAAATGGTGGCTATATTACACCAGAATTTTTTACAGCGTACTATTTGACAAATATCTAAAAAATACTTTTGGCTATGCCAAGCAGAGCCTGATTATCGCCTAGGCTCAATAGACATGGGTCTAGGGCCCACAATTTCTGAGGGGCCTCGAAAATTAGTAAAAAGTTTAATAAAAGTTGGGCTAGCTTTGAGTTGGTTTAAGTATTAAATAAAAAAAACAGTGCTACAACAAACAGTATTAAATAAAAATCAGTAACTTGTAGCAAAAATCACTAACTTCAATTGTTTGTGGTCACCAAACTACTTTTATTTTGATATAGCATTGTTTTTGTTGTTTTATATTTTGCTTTAATTTATAGATACGTAAAATTTATCTCAGAAAAACAATCTTCAGTTGCCTGTTTTCAAAATTTCTCAGAATGTTTCTCTTGAATCATGCAGTTCAATAGATTCTTTTTCATTGTTAGGACTACTCTTCGGTTATTTAATTTCAAAATATCTTGTAAGGGGCCCGGAAAATTTGGTGGGCCTTGGGCCTGAATTTGTCTTGATCGGTCCCTGATGCCAAGTTAGATGAATTTAAAATTCTCATTTTAAGAATTACATTAACTACAAAATCGATACTTATAGCGTTTTATGGTATATAGTTTGAAGTATTATTATTTTATGCCTTACTTCTGCAATTTGAGCTCGTTGTTGTTCCATTCTCTTGTGTGCCACTTTGTGTTGTGGGTTTTCTTGCTGCATAGCAGGTTGGTTGTCATCGATCATTTCGTCATAGGTTCCACCGCCAGACCTTGAAAAAAAACTCCTATATTACATTTTATTAAATCTACAAAACTGATGTTCACTGATGGGCTATTAGCAACATTTTGGTCTTCTGGACATTCTTTTCTTATTATATTATATTGGTGGTAGATGGAAAAATCAGATAAAATTACCGTACTGTATGGTAATGATATTTCCGGTAAAAAAAACAACGACATAATTTTGGTTCATTAAACCAAAATATACGGTATTTAAATCAGTCATTTGATAGTTGTTTCATTCGTATAGCGTATTTCCTCTAAACAGTTTAGAGGAAATTCTTGTTTTCAAAATTATAGTTATTATTACTGCACATTTAGTAAAAACACAAAACTGTAAGAATACAAAACTGTATTCTTACCGAATAAATGTTTTTTTTTTGCAGTGCTCTAATCTAAGGTGTTATGATAAAATTATCAAATTTTACCACATTTACCATGGTTTAACTCATTATAAAATAATATTTTATTGTTAATTTTACCAACATCATTATCCCCAGATTTAAACAGCCAAATTAGCATTACATGGAATTAAAAAAAAACCACTTATTAGTCAAATTGCAAACAACAATTTAAAACGTTTTATTTCCGAAATTATCAATTTATCCATATTTTCTAAACATATTTTTTAACTTTACTTTTTTTAAATTTATTTTAATTCTTACTTTTAATAATTCTTGCTGAAGCTCTGTATTTATTACAGTTATAACAAATTTCTGCAATTTAAATTCTTTTAATATTAGTTTTAATGCTTATAAAGCAGATTACCAATATATGGAGTAAAGCAATTCTTAGTCTCTTTTACGAAATATAACATTTTAAAACATGCTGTCTTCCTACAATTATGAATTTATTTATAAAATCATATTTTGTGCCAGTTGTCCTCACTTTTTAATGTGCTATCAATGATTTAAATATAACATTTAATTTTTGTTATTGAATTGCTACTGCATTTAAAATCGTTATTAATAATTTAAATGTTACATCTAATTTAGAAGACACCACTTTTACTAAAAACAAAAATTTTATCAGTTCAAATTACAATTTGAAATTCTCAGATTGTTTAGGTTGCATTTTTTTAAAAAAAATTTCAAGTTCTAAAACACGAAAAATAAATCCCATGTTTCTAATGGATATATTTAAAGTAGCGCTTTTTAAAAGATTCAAAATATATGTATAAAACAAATCGATTTTTTTCCTGAGAATGTCTTATGAGTTCCTTTATCTTCTGAGTTGGGCTCAAAATAAAATGTCCATTTCTCATGGACAGTAATAAATTGAAAATATGTGCGATGTTAACAACATTTACAATGTAATTACAATGCAATTTACAATGTAACATTTCAAAATTTCAAAAAATGCATACATTACATAATTAAAATATACTAGGAAATTACGAAATTCTATATTAGTTTTCAATACTGTCTACGGTGAATTACAGAGATCTTGAAACTTCAAAGCTGTTTATTGACTTTGGGTCGAAAAGAGGCTTCGTTAAAGGTCAAAGATACTTTTCGTTCGTAACATAGTTATGAGCAAACTAAGCACAATTTATAAAAGTGAAACAAATATTTTGTTATTTTTATTTATTTTGTTACACAATTTATAAAAATGAAAAAAAAAATTTTTTTTAATTAAAATTCTATAATTTTGCCTTTTAGAAATAATTAAAAAGTATTTTTCCTTTTAAATAAATAATATTAATAAATCGGTTTTAAAATAAATATTTTTTAAAAAATAAAATAAAAGCTGTATCGTTATTGTTATAATCGCTTTTTATTTAACTTACGAATAATCATTTTTCAAAATGTTTGATTTTTTATTAAAACTTACTTTAAAAAGTTCTAAATATACTAATTTAAAATTTAATTCATTAAAAATCATACGGATTTTAATTGAAAGAAATTTCTATGTTTCAATCCTAAAAAGAAAAAAGTTACTTTTTTTAATTTTCAATCAAACTATTTTATTTCAAATAATAAATATAACCTTTATAAAATGGTACTAACTTTCAAATTTTTAAGTAGATTATTCTTTTTAAATTTTTAATATTATATTTTAATGACACACGTCAGTATGCTGGGGAAAATAACAGATATTTCGTCAAACTTTTATCTATCTTTTTAATATATCTCTTTTGTGTTTTTGATTCAAAACTACAGAATTTCTTAAAATTATACGATATTAAATTTGTAATATTTTGATTATGCAGAAATTGGGTAAAAAAAACGTATAAACTTTAATTTGAGATTGAAATGAATAAAAATTAAAATTCTACAATATGAAATTGCTTGTAATAGGGCATATTTAAAAGAATAGAATTTATCCGGAAATATGAAAATTTTAAAAAGAAATAAAAGGATATTAAAAAGTGACAGAAAAAAAGAACATTTTTGACATTTCAAATACCAAAACTATCATTAATGGAGAACACGTTTCATGAATTTTACATTTATTTTGATACCATATGTTAAAAATTTAATAAATCAAAATTTAAAAATACGACAGCTGTCGCTTTTAAATGAGGGAACTTACATTATCACTGCGAACTATGAAATTTTATCAAATAATTAAATTCTTAGAAATTAATTTAAAGCACTAGGCAAAGAGAAATTATCGTAGTAGAAATAAGTTCCTCTAACAGACCAAACGATATTCACCGCTTGTAACACGAACACGAAATCGATCGTGGCAGACGATAATGAGTCTACGTTTGAAAGGCTGATCTTCTAGAGCTGAGTGAGATGGTATGCAAAATATATTTCCAAAAGATGGGGAGTTCTACTTACATCTTTTGAGATTTCTCCTCCCGAGTTTTATTATAATCTTTCAGGTGAATCTCTAGGGGGTCAGGAAAGGATGTTGAAGAGTATGGACGGTGGGGATTCAAATCTTCAGATCAGGAGGGATGCGGGGATGATGAGAAGGAAAGGGGGGCATGCGCATATCCACACCGGTTAAAGGAACAAAACTGTCGCCACTTGTCTTGGTTTTGATGGATTTTTTCTCATATCCTTCGCATAGAATGTTGCTCTAAGATGTTAAAGTGTATAAAAGAATTGAGGTTTCCTTTTTAATAAGAAATACAGAAGGCGGAAAAAATAATAGAAACACTTTTATACTATTATACTTTTTAATATTTCTCAAGAAATACTTAAAGAATCGATTTATTACATCAGAAGTGTTTAGATCATGCGATTTGTCAGACTTGCCGATGAAGGTGAAAGCTTTTAGAGGTTTGAGGGGACGATAATAAATTAATAAATTACAAACGGAAAAATAGTGTTTTTGTACACCCTATGCCAAAAAATGTAGCAATAAATTTGTAACTTAAGACAAGTATATTGGTTATTATTTGTAACAATTGCACAAAATTTCGTAAACCTAACTTAAATGTTTATAGAGATATGACCATTTCTATAAAAAACTAATTTTTTAAAACTTACAAAATATTTAATAAAATTAAACAACATTTGTAAAAGCAATTTAAAACTAATTACAAAATATTTTCTTTAAAATTTGAAAAACATTCATTGAAAACTCTGCAATATACAAGTAATTAAAGTAGTTCTTTTATATTGCGTTGAGCGAAAAAAATTTAAACAATTTTTTTTTAATAATTTTGCAGTGAATCGTGTTCGGCAACTAATGAAAAAAAAATTCCGTTTTGAATATCTTAATAAAATTAAAAAATTTCCAGCAATTTTCTAAATAGCTTTTATACTTAAAAAATAAATTCTTTTAAAATGATAAGGGGTTTTCTACAAATATTATTTTGCATCATAAAGCAAAATTAAATAAAAAAAATTATATTACCTTACAATAAATGTTCATGCACCGAAATATGATTGTATAAAGGAAGAAAACATGCAACAGAAAAGACACTTTTAAGGAGAATGATCCCCAACAATGTCGGTGTCATTTTTAATAAATCTTGGTTTATATATATATGTAGTTATACATATATATAAACATTTATATATATTTAAATACTCATATTTTGCTTAGTTTAAAAAAAAAATCTCAAATTTTAAATCAATAATTTCGTGATTAATTTTAAATTTATCCAAAAAATTTTGTTTAATTTTATTGCAAAAGTACGTAAGACAACAAAATTAGTTTTTTTTAATAAAAATGTCCATATTTCTATGAATATTTAAGATTTTACGAAATTTTGTGCAACTATTATAGATGGTTGACTGAATGTAAACAATAACAAGCTTCCTAAAACCGTAAGAAATTCAGAAAACTTCCGGTGTATCCCTCCGCTTATGTTATGCTTACGAGGTGATGTGTGAACAGGCTTACTATTCTAGGAAGTTTTATTATTGTGATTTGTGTCTAAATTTATGAGTTATTTTACATTCATAAGAGTTTTCTGTAATTTATAAATTCTAAAAGGTCGTGACCTTAAAATAAATTTAACAAAATTAACGTCACATGATAAATAAAGCGTAAGGTTTGCCATGTTTTGAGTGTTATCCCTTATTTGGCTATATTTGTGTAAAATAGCGCCGTTTGTTACATTTTGAGTAGCATCGTATCAAGTTTGTCCATTCGTTGACTCACAAATAGAAAAATATCAATGTGGATTTTGTGCTGGAAAATCAACTAAAGATCAGATATTTTGTCTCCGTCAGATTTTGGAGAAGTCAATGGAATTTAACATTGAAACACATAATCTTTTTACTGATTTCAAGGCTGCCTTTGATAGTATCAATAGAATTTATCTTTTTGAAATAATGAATACTTTTAATATACCTTCATAACTCATTAAATTGACGAGACTTACATTGAAAGATACAAAGTGTAAGATTAAGTTTCTGGGGTCTCTGTCAGAAAATCTTGACACATTTACAGGTGTTCGGCAGGGAGATTCTCTCTCCTGTCTTCTTTTTAATATTGCACTTGAGAGAGTAATTCGTGATTCAAACATCAATACCAGTGGTCACATTTTTACTAGATCAGTACAACTACTTGCATATGCAGGTGATATTGATGCCCTTCTTGCCCTAAAAGAGGCATTTCTTGCCCTTGAGGTGGCTGCAAGACAAATGGGCTTAGTCATAAATGTAGAGAAAACAAAATATATGTTACTCTCAAGAAACATGGGATTTCAAGATGGGAGTCCCTGACCCCCATCTTGAAATAGATTCTTATAGATTTGAAACAGTAAAGAGTTTTACTTACTTAGACTCAATTATTACTATCGACAACAGAATGACTCCTGAACTAAAAAACAGACTATCTTCCAAAAAAAGGGTGTCCACGGGCTGAGAAGATTTATTAAATATAGGTTTCTTTCTAGAAAAACTAAGTTCTTAATCTACAAAACTCTTGTCAGGCCAGTCTTGACATAGGTTTCTGAAGCTTGGACAATGACTAAACTGGAGGAAAATTGTATCGCAATATTTGAGAGAAAGATTTTGCGGAGTATACTAGGTGGTGTAAATGAAAACAATAACTGGTGAAAGAGATTTAACTTTGAACTGTACGAGATTTATAAACAACCCGATATCATTAAATGCATAATAAATAGAATTAATTGGATGGTCCACTTGATTTGAATGAGCGATGACAATACAATAAAAAAGATGAGTGCTGCTTTTTAAACCCACTGGAACAAGAAAGCGGGGCAGGCCGCGGTTGAGATGGGCTGACCCGGTGGAGTTGAATTTTCTTGCAATTAATGAAAAGAATTGGAGATCAAAGATTAATCGGAAGTCATTGCGGATAAATCTTCAGAGGAAGGCATTGGCCCACATTGGGCTGTCTGGGCAACTATGATGATGATGACGTAGCAAGTTTGTGAAGTCTTCCGAATTCTTTCGTAGAAGTTAAATTGAAAGAACGCGTGATACTGAAAACACTACAAGTATAATAATATTGGATGGCACGTTTTTTCAAGCGTAAGCGTAAAATTTAATCGGAAATAGTAACCCAGAGGACTTACGGCGAATTTTGGCCACCAGCGCCATCTGCGCTTAACTTTACACGGTTAACAATCCATAATAACCAAAATAATTGTGACAAGCTACAAATTTATTGCTACATTTTTCGTCGGCATAGGGTGATCAAAAACACTATTTTCTGTTCGTGATTTATTATCGGTTCCTCAAACTTGTAAAAGTTTTAAACTGCATTGATAAGTGTGAGAAAGCACGTGATATAAACACTTCTGAAGTTAAAAAATGTTTTTTTTTAAGTATTTCTTGAGAAATGTGAAAAAATGTATTAGTATAGAAGTGTTTCCATTATCTTGTTCAACCCCTGTAGAATAAATCTATGTTCGAAATTTCAAACAATTACAAATTAAGTAGAGCTATTTTCTTCTAAAATAGTCTTAATATTTTAATTAATATTTATTTATTTAATATTTTAATTAATATTTAATTAATATTTAATTAATATTTTAATTGGAAATAAAATATTACATTTACAATTTTTTAGCAAAATGTTTAAGGGAATGTGTATTTTTGGAATAATTTATAGTTATTTCTATTGGTAGAAGCATTTTAACTTTTTTTTATATATATTTAATTACTGTTCTATTAGCAGAATTTTATAAGTCAATCCGCAACACTTTTTTCTAAAACTCAAATTTATCTGCGATTTCGACGCACTCAAGCAAAGAATACTAGTATAAAAATTAAGCACATATTTAGCATAGTTTGCAAATATTAAATACTAATATACGCAAAAAATTGTTTTTTAAATTTAAAATTGATGCAATCATAATTTAGCATTGTCCAAAATTAAATTATAAAAAACAAACAAAAAAACAGAAAAAATTAGAAAGAAAGGCTTAATTTATCAACTTATGCAGATGATAATATAAAAATAAAATCTTTTTTTTTTTAAGGAAGAAATTAACAAAGTTGTAATGCTTGATGTATTTGAATTTTTCTTCAAACAAACCTCATGACCATACTGCAACAGGTAATTCGCAGACAAATTAAACAACGCTCAGAAAAAATTAAAATTAAGTGTCGCTTTTTGGTATTTTTTTAAAGGAAAAATATTGAAGTATATTGAACTATTGATAACATAAATAAACATAGAATAATCTTTTCGTTTTTTGTTTTATATTTTATTTTAACATGTTCTCCGTATTTTCTGCTGGCAGTTTTTTCTCAATTTGTTTCTCATTTTTTTATTCTACAATCGGAATCTAACAGCCGATCCAATTTTGAGTTTATGATTATCAATGTTCAACTCCGTAGCCTTATAATTTTGAGCCGAACCCAGAAGAAAAAGAACTCCTGGATCAAGCATTGGAACAAATTAACCCTTTTGGAGAACTTTTTGATGGAACTAACCCACATTTGCGTTACATGAAGAGGAAAACCGCGAAGACCTCACACGGTTAGTCCGACAGCAACGGGATTCTAAACCATGATCCATGTACCACTCAGGATATTTACGTTAACACTGCAGTCGATGAGAGCCGGAAGCAGAATTCACACCAACCAGTCACCGCTGGGATTCAATTCTGTGTCGCCTCTACTCTCTGAGCCACCGCGACTCTTCCATTTGTTAGTGTTTTTTTTTTTTCAATCTGAGGTGGAAAATATTCTGCAGATCTTGGGATAAACTGCAGCGGCTGACCTGGAAAGTTACTGCTACCGAAATTAAGGCTAATATTAAAAAAAAAAAAAAAAACTTTTACTACATATTTTTTTCGCTAAAAATAGGTAGAAATTAATCTAAATACACGACTGAAGAATAATTTTTTCAACGATGAAATGTTTGTTTATATGTTTTGTCGAAAGCGTCCTGACATCAAATGTACCTCGTTACAGCTTATGAAAATGTTGTGAATTGTCTTATCTAAAGGGTCTCGATTTTTCATATGAATAATGTTTTGACAAGTCTTATCAAAAATGTCTAGATACAACTTATCAAAAGCATTCGAAAATGTCATTAGAAAAAAAACTGATATTCTGAAATTTGGAAGAAAATCTAATAAATCTGACATTTATAAACTCATTTGCTTAAATAATTATGTTATACT